GGAAAGTTGGAGGTGATTGATAAGGGCTGGAAAGTGAGCAGGTTGCTCCAAATAACGTGTCTGAAACACATCTTTTTAAAAACTCCCAACCACCCGTGTTAATACCCACTCCTGTTTGTTTGTTTGTTGTTTGTTTGTTGGTTGGTTTGTTGTTTGTTTGTTTGTTTTTCCCAAGTTGAAGATGAAGATGGAGAAAATTAGGCTGAAATCCATCTTTTTCAAGGCCGAGAGGGCAGTAAGCTGGACTGCGAGGAGCTGGCGCTGGAATTTCGTTCCTGGCAGGCTTTTTCCTACCTGTACTTTCGGCAGTAAGTGAGATTCGAACAGCCAGCCCACAATGAGCTCGGCACTGTGGCGGCGAGGAAAACTGCGCCCCGGCACGCAGCTGCGGGTGAAAGTTGCGCCTGGACGTGTCGGGAGCCCAGGCTGGGCCTGAGGCTGGAGCGCCGACAGCCACGCGCCCCGACGGCCTCGCCGTGGGATCCGGCTCGGCTGCTCCAGGATTTGCATTTATCAGTTTTCATTCAACCTGCCCCATTGTTAGTTCAAAGCCGGGCTGGGAGGGACTCTCCCTGGCGCTGCTTCTCACTCACCTTCAGTTTAAAATTCTCCTCCAATAGGAAGGTCCTAGAAAAACTAGCAACCCTGGGGATTTTCTAGGCTTAGGGAAAACACAAACCAAAGTCTTTTTTTTTTTTTTAATTTTTGCTGTGGGGATTTGCATAAGAAGTTAGAGCCGAGAGGGCCGGGAGATGGAAGGTGGAAGAGCGCCTGGCTGCGTGTCCACTTTGACAGGCAGTTCGTGTGGGGGTGGCAGCACCATGACCTCTCAGAGCAAGATCTAGGATTTCACCTTTTCATCCCACTTAGCGGATACCATAGAAACAACCCATTTGTATTATTCAATTCAACAGAGGCAATTACAATGTCACAGCAAAGCACCATGGGCAAGAAGAAACTTTATCCTCAAAGCAACCCTGGCTTCTCAGGGAGAAAAAAGGAAAAAGCCACGAAAATGCACGCTTGAGTTTCTGAAAGGGTTCTAAGGAGAAGTCAGTTTGGCAAACAATATATAAGGTGCTTTGGCTTCAGACAGAGAAACATCCCAAAATTTCCTTTTGGTCCCTTCTCTCACACAATCTCCTATTTATACGAAATTAAGCAGATATCTCTGAGGCCCCCAAATTGCTTTTTGCTTTGTAGTTAATAGGCACCTTTTTTTAAAGGTTTGTTTGTAATCTCTGTGGTACAAAAAGGCCCCCAAAATGATACCAAGATAACCCCTGATTCAATCAAGGTGTTATCACCCCACCCCCACCCTTCTGTTTGCCATGCTCTTATCTGAAAATAAATAAATAGCTAAAACAGAGATGAGCTTGTTGAAGTAGCCCAAATATAAAGCTCATAACTAAAGATCTTGCTTGCTAATGCCTTTCATTATTGGTATACTTTCAAAAATAATTTTAATCTAGTTCCATATTTTGTGAACGTTTACATTTTCTAAATTATGTAGTACTACAAGCCCACCAAAAGTACAGCACCCACCCATCTAATTCCCTTGTTCTCTCCCTCCTTAAACAAAGCTTTACAGATAAGGTCAAAATCCCATTTTTTGACTTTTTCCCTCTTTCTGCCCTAAGTGAACCATTCTGAAATTGGTATGTAATATATTATGAAATGCTGAAAGCATACAAATGAGGGGTCTTCAAAAAGTTTGTGGAAACAAACTAAAAGATAACTTCCCACAAATTTTGTGGAAGCCCTCTCATGATGCATACATAGTGTTTTAATGTAGCTTTTTTTTTTTTTTCAAGCAACATTGCTGAGAGGGAAATACACTGACTCAAAACGGGAAAATATTGCTATTTCTAACCATTGCTAAGCAATGTTTTAGAAGGACAGAACTCTTTTCCCCTACTTGTGACAATGGAGGGCGTAATAACAAAGAGATTCGGCAGAGGGTTGTAAACAGCCTCTCTAGGTTACACAAGCCCTCCCATGGTTACCAAAGAGTCCATAGAAAAGCAGATCCTGGAATGCCCCCTTCTAACCACTAGTTACAAGTGTATCCGGAAAGAAATGATCTAGGGTAACACTTCTTCAGGCCGATCAAAACAAATGTCTTACAGCTTCTGGCTGGACTCCTGGTCACATAAACTATAATCTCCCAGGAAAAATTTACCATTTTCTAAGTCTAAGAGACTCCCGCTGGTTGCTCAATTCAAGGTTGCAATGTGCCCTGCTGAAAGGCTGGTGTGGAATCCTGCTCGCTCCAGCACAGGGACCTCCACCAGCACAGTGAGTTAGAGAAAGCAGTTTGCAGCGACCCTTTCACATACCCTCCTCCCAGCAGTCAAGGGGCTGTGCCGATTTTTCTTAAATGCCATTGACAAGTGAAAGACATCCCTACCAACCCCCAGTCTCTTTGCTTCCTGAAGGATGACACTCATTAATTATACTGGCATATCATTGCCTGGCCTCCCTTCTAAATAGCTGCCAGATCTCTACATATCACCTCTGCCTTGATGTAGAATGTGCACTGACATCAGGATCACAGAAAAGCCTGTAAGAGAGGCCTGATACACAGGAGGATGATTGATATGCCTGGTGGTGGGCCTGCTGTGCTGCATATAGGAGGGAAGTCTTAGAAAACTGCAGTGGGGATCTGTGTGCTGAAGGCAGATTTTCCTAGAGGTGCAAAAATATAAATAGCTATTTTTAAGACGCTCAAATTTTAACCAGCAATAATCCTTAAGCTATATGCATGAAGGAAGAGATGAATATCATCCCTATTGTATCAGTGTACTAAGGAGTCATGAGAACAGGGACCAGTGAACATGTCAAGGAGTCGTCATCCCTCTTTCAACATGTTTCTTGGATCCATGTCACATCCCAGACACTGCTCTAGATAGTAGGGCTTTGCTGAAATGCAGTTCACACTCCTGTCCTAACAGCAATGTCCTGTCCTTCAAGTGTCAGTCCTGTATTGATCAAGACTGTTTCACACATAACAAAATCCCAAATCAGACTGACGAAAGCGGCGAGTGTATTGATGCTCCACCTTCAGATGGAGAAAGGATAAGGGCTTCAGGAATGGCTGGATCCACTACTTCTGACAGTCGAGATCTGTGTCTCACATTCTACTCACTTTTGCTCCTACTCTTTCTTGCTCTGCTTGTCACTGTGTATTTTGATCTTCCATCGGAGCTTCCTCTATAGCAGCGGTTCTCAACCTGTGGGTCACAACCCCTTTGGGGGGGTTAAGTGACCCTTTCACAGGGGTCACCTAAGGTCACCGGAAAACACTTATTTCTGGTGGTCTTTAGGAACTGAGACACAGCTCCTCTATCCATCTCCAGGCGGTCTGCCCACATGCACATCCATCTACATACAGTACCTGGTGTGAAGACTGTTACCCATGCTACACCATGCTTCCAGACAAAATTTCATTTATTTGTAATTAGAAATAAATATTTCACAATATAGAATTACATATTGTTTTTGTGATTAATCACTATGCTTTAATTATGTTCAATTTGTAACAATGAAAATACATCCTGAATATCAGATATTTACATTAAAATTCCTAACAGTAGTAAAATTACAGTTATGAAGTAGCAACGAAAATAATTTTATGGTTGGGGGTCACCACAACATGAGGAACTGTATTAAAGGGTCGCGGCATTAGGAAGGTTGAGAGCCACTGCTCTAGAGACTGGTGGGGGTAAGCAGAGTATAACCAGGCACAGCTCCCTGTTTCTATCAGTTCAGCTAGCAAATCCAGAGGAAAGAGAGCCCTTCTTACTTTCACCACCTGTAAAGCAGATTGTAGGAAAGGACTCTAATTACTCTAATTGATAAGGTTCCAGCATGTGTCCATACTTGGGTCAATTAGCCTGGTGATGATGAGCAGTGTAGATAGGACCAGACTCTGATCATACACCCACCTTGATGGCTATGGAAAGTGGGTGCTAGGAGTAGCACCCTCCCTCTGCAGCCAGTTAAGAGTAGCAGAGTATCTGGCCCCCAAAGGAAGGGGGCTGCTCTTGCCATCTCAAGTTAAGAAGGGATATTGACAGGCACAAAGAGCAGTTGCCCCCTCCTGAGCCAGCCATCAAAGAAAGGCATGAAAACCATCATATAGAGCCAGATGTGTGTGGCAGATTTAAGATGAGGTCCAATGAGCGGGTGGACAAATGGAAATACTACCCAACATTTCTTGCTCAGCTCAAGAGGCACGTGCCCCTTATGTGGCTAACTGCCACACTGAGTTGGGAAGCTGGGGAGAAAGGAATGTAGTGGATCTCAAGGAGAGTCACCTCTTTTTGTCTTATGTCTTGTGGTTTTTTTACTTTCTATCGTGGAAATGTTCACACATACACAAAAGTAGAGTGATATAACGAATTAGCCACCCAGTTTCAATAATTATTAATATTTTGGCAATTTTCTTTTATCTACTCAGGAGGGTGCGTAGAATCCGTTAAAAT